GAGAGAGAGAGAGAGAGAGAGAGAGAAGAAAAAAAGAATGAGAGAGAGAGAGAGAGAGAGAGGGAGAAAGAGAAAATGAAATTTGATTTCATTCGATGTAGATCGTTCTCTTGTAACTTATGCGCGAAGTTACTTCGAGTGAGTTTAAAAGTTCATTTTCAGCAATGTTTTATACGTTTTTTATGATAAGAAAGTCAGCCAACAATCGAGTATTTTGTAGATAGAAAGAGAAACAACTTATTATTATGCGAAGGAACCGATTTAAAAATGTTTTATGTAAGGAGGAGCAAGGATTTCCTGAATTAGAGAATGGAGAATCACATTACCGTAGGCAGTTCCGTGTCTCGTAGAAATGCCTCTGTTCTTCCTTACGTAAAGTTCTACGAATCTTTCCGAGAGAATTATTATTCGACGAAGAATAAGAGAGAAAAAGAAAAAAGAAAGAAAGGAAAAAAAACACATTGGTAAAGAACGAAGAGACGTACAGTGACTCGCTTCAAATTTAGAGATATGAACTTACACGGTGGAACACGTACAGAATTGTGTATCAATGTTCGATTAACAAAATTTTTTTAATGATCGCCTGTCCGATCGATTCGATTCCATGCATGCATATATTCCTTTACAATTTGTTGGAGCATAATTTTATAATAAATAAATCATTATAATGAAATAATGAGACAGCCTCTTTCTTCCAATTTCATAATTTCTAAAATCCATCTGTAATTTCGGAAATTCTTTTCAGTTTTCCGCAGCAAGACTTTAAGACGGATCATAATCAGCGCGTTATAAGCTGCAGTTACATGGAATCTTGAACGTTGCACCAAGGCCTGCTGTTACAGTTTTGTCTTCAACTTCACTAGTACGTGTTAATAGGAATCTCACAAATCGATAGGCTCTGTTCACCAGGCAATTCCAAATTGCAATTTACATGATTTCTTAGCAGCTTTAGATACTGAGAATATTTCTACAATCCAGCTTACATTCACGCTTACGAATAATACCCGAAGGCCTTTGAAAGTATAAAAGAACAAACAAAATACATAGGTCGCAACAGTATCCGGTTCATATACAAGGTCTACTCTTATATTCGATCCTTGAAATACTTGAAAGAGAAAAAAATTAATTTTATGTTCTTTTTTTTTTTTTTTAGATATGTACGTACATTCAACCACTACAATCAAAGCGTATCAGTTTTATAATCGATCTTCATCGATTTATGTCTTTTTATTCTTATACTTTTTCCATATCTTTATAGAGGTACATCTGAAAATTCAATAAGAATTTTTCACTCTTTTAAACAGGGTTAATTAATGTTAGGAGTTAGGGTTAATTAATTAGGGATTCTTAGCTTTTCATGTAAAATTTAAGTAAAAATTTCAAGCGTTCGTTGATAGGTTTGCTTTCAAGGATTTTCTTCATACTTTCCTTTTACTTACTACTAGTAATCCTAGCGTCGAATAATTAACAAAAAGGCAATTAATATCGACGTGGAAAGGCGTATCTTGGATATTACCGAACGTTGTCGCACTCGATACCGGTTCGTTTGCCTCCTTTTCGATTTAGTTGACCGCCAACGTGCCAATGACTCCTAGCATTCAACAGGTATCTATACAATCGATGTGTGTTGTGTTCCGTGGTATTCCCCATGGCGGCGTTGTGTTGGTATATCAGTGATCTGCGCTTCCTTCGAAGAGACGCTTGCGCCGGTAAGGCAGACTCTCTCCGCGTTCCGTGGCTGTGCGTTATTAGTACGCCGCCGGCCGTCGAACGTGTATGATCTTTCACTCGTTGTTCGACCGTGTCGAACCGTGTTATTTTTGTTTACGCGACCGGTTTTTTCTATGAAACTCGACTTGAAATCAAGCGAGCGACGTGTACCGTTCTTGCCCGTGCGTGTACATCGTACGTGAGATTGGTGACGAGTGGCTCGCGGTGATCGTTCTCGCGGAATTCTCGATCTCGTCGGCAGTTCGATAGCTATCGATACGATTCGACAGATTCGTTAAACCGTCAGTCGAGCGCACAGAACGAGTGGATTTTCGGAGCTTGATAGTTCGCGTCGGGATGTGCTCGAAATAATTTGAGGAAGTCAGTCGGTCCGCGTTCGTCGATTCCTCGCGAATTGTAGCCTGTCAATCAACGTCGTGAAAGCTAACAGCAAAGTAAGAGTCATGTAACGGAGAAAGTGCGTCGTTATTCGGGACGTGTTTTTCGGTGACTCGGTACACAGTGAATTCTACGCATCGGGAATGGTACGCGTCGTACAGAAACGATAGACATTTCTTGGAAGAGAAATCGTGTCGCGATTTGCTTCGACCGAGCGTGTATATATGTGAATTTATCGTCGAGGAACGACGAAGTTTGCCAAGCAAGAGTGACCTTTCGCGATGTTTAAAAGTTGGTAACGCGTAGTAGACGTACAGGTACGTGCAGGTCATATATTGTTTCTTTCGCCATTTTTTTCATTTCTTTTGCCTAACCTGTTCGCGTTCCCGCGTTTACAGTCTCTCTCCCCCTCTCCTTCCTCCTCGGGGTGAGTTATTAAGTTGCCTGTTCTTCCTCTTGGCGTCACTTCCGTCAAGTGCAGACAGGTTTACGCATGCGTGCGTCGGTTTGCGAAAAAACGGTTTGAAAGTTGACAAGAAACTGATTGGTTGACACGGCGGTTTGTCGTATAATTCGAATGCGTTACTCCAAAAAATACGAGCTAATTGTGTATAGGTTATTTTTATACGACGGACAAAGATAGGTATTGCATAGATGTTAGCGTACGCGTAAGTCAGGTTATTTTTGAATTGGTTCGACAAAGTCAGTTTCTGCTGGAAATTAGCATGTTCGCGTATTTTTCATTCTGACTCTACAATTCGTCAATTGGTCAATTGCATATTACTAAGTTTTATATTTGATCGACCTTGCTTTTAAACTCGAATTGCGAAACAAGATAAGATAAGATAAAAAAGCAAAGGTATTGTTTCGATAAATTCTTTGCCACGTAGAGTATCAATTATTCGTTAACGCGGCGATTGCATGCTTTTTCTCAGCGGGTAATATAAAGTATAACACAAAGTGTATTTCGCGAGAAGGATTGGGCGGATGTTTGCAAAAAGGACCGGTATTTTAACGCGAGAGTTTCTTGCACGTAGCATTCGCGATACCTCGGGAACTGATTCTCGTTAATTATCGCGGAGTTTAAAGGACGGGTGCGGAGAGACTTCGCGGAGAAAAGAGAGAGAAAGAGAGAAAAGAAAAAAAAAACGCAGTAATTCAAAAGTTTCGTGATTAATGAAGTAATTCGTTCCGAGTAAGAAGTTGTATTTCATTTCGCCTGACTTTCGCTCTTTTGAAATAATCTCCCCGAGGAAACGGGGAATTATGGAAATCCGGGCAGGGGGATGATTCTGAGAAAAATGTCGAAATCTAACGGAAACCGCGTAAAGAGGATTAGTTCGCACGATTAGGGAGAAGGCATCGTACTGTCGTTTAAAAACGTTCACAAATTTTTTTTTTTCGATCTCGATAGAAAAACGTT